TGAATAACAAACCATGTTTAACCGTGATTAGAAACTTCCGATAAACTAAATATCCGTGATTAGACAAAAGAATAAAAGATATTTTAGACACGTAAAAACCATATATATTAAAGCTGATAATATATGTGTATATATTATATATGAGAGGTTGTTAGATAAATAAGTTTTTTCCACACTAATGTTATTTAGGACTTGATAGTATTAAACTAACATTTTAATTATTTTTTCGTGGCGAAATTAAAAGTTAGTTTGAAACTGAGATTATTCCACAGATTAAACTTTTAACCACTAAAATCGTTAAATCTTGCATATTAATAAATTTAAGTTTGTAAAGTCGTAATAAAAACAATTAATAATTCATTGTATTAAAACACAAATAAATAAATATACCATTGAATCGTGGATAAAATATTGAATCATTTTAAATATTTGTGGAAAATTCGTATTAACTTACTACTAATTATTTATAATTGTATAAAATGTTGATGAATTCTTTCTATATGAAAAATAATAATAATGGATTAAAATCTAAATTGCTTAGTATTCTAATTTTGCTTTCCTATGAACGAATTGAAAGAAAACTATTTAGCTTATACGATTAAAATAACTTGTTCTCATTTATTTTAAATAATGTAACATGAATGAATATTTTGAATTAAATAAGTATTCTCAAGTTTTTTAAAACTTGAAGATGTTTTCAAAGCTCATATACCTATATATTTTTTCGAGCTATACTGGTAAGTAGATGTATCCCCATTTTTTATTTGTTTTTTGTACAATGCMATTTTGTACACTAATATATTATTGCTTTAAATTTTTAAAAATTCTTTTTTTTATTATTTCAACTGTTTGATTTTGATATAGAATAACTTGGCATTTTATATAAAAATACTCTAAATATGTATTCAGTTTCAGTTATTACATTTTTAAACTACATTAGTCACCGCTTATCGGACTCATGGTTAATTGACTCATTCGCCTATTAGACTCAAAACGGCTGGTCCCGATTCGCACATATTATACTAACACACAGCAAAAAATTCGTCTATTCAACTCACACACCGCGGTTAATAGGGTCATTTGAAAATTAGATAAATATAGAAAATATATACTGCTATGTACTGCAGACGTCCCGCTAAGACTACTAAATACGCATTTGCACGTAGATGTACGTGAGTGTCCCTGCGGCATATGATTTAACCACCGATCACATTGTGTCAAACTTCGATAGCCGGTGCGAGTAGAATATCAAAATAAGAGAAACTCATTGTACGAAATTATCGTGTTGGCAGGAAATCATTTAGATACCTAATTAGGGCATCGGTTTATTGAGATTACGCGTGTGTCAGGAGTAGCAGGATGTGAACAGAACGGCCACACGAGCGTTGGATGCTACGGTATCCAGTGATATGCGCATACGCATTTGCACGATTAGACAATGGACACATACTTTTTCTTATCGATAGGAGAGGAAATGCGGAGGTTAGGACTATATAGGAGAGCCCCGAATAGACCAAAAGCAGACGTGAGCCACCAGTCAGTGCAAGCACCTTCACGCCAGACACCATTCTAAATTAATTAATCATTTGAACTTAGAATATTTTTAATTAAATCATTCGTGTTCAGTAATAGTGTTTTATTCACATCGCAATCAAATAAATTATAATAATTAATCACAAATCAAGTTGTTATACTTATTTCCTTTAATCCATCTACCTCAACACCAGTCGTTCGTCATCCTGTATGCTGGGACGCTACAGTACATACATTGAATAAACGTGTTATAAATAAGTCGGTACCTTTTATCTATTTTATGATTATGAAATTGTCCGAAGAAGGGAAAATCCAATCAACATCAGATGGATTTTTATCAAAAAATTAATTAATTTTATTAATTATGTATGTATTTTATTTATTTGATTTGATTTTTAGTTGCGTATAGCTAGATTTTTATTTTTATACATACTTTGAATCTCAATACATATTTTTAGTCTAGAGAGAAATATGGAACTTGCCGTTGTTAATGATTATAAAAATAGATTTGTTGGTGTTCGCAAATGCGATCAACTTTTAAAGTGGCGCTGCTCTTCTGACAAAAATTGCACTACGTTTATTTTTTCAAATTCAGAAAAAAAATAGTTCTCGACTCAAAAGGTATACATGTCATCCGGCTGACACTCCTAATAAAATATAAAAACAAGTACTCAGAGAAAACTGTAAGCGACCAGCAGAGGAATCAGTTTTCAGTAAACCTATCAAAATTATTCGTACAGAATTACTCCAAACTCCAGAATCATCGGCAATTAGACACCAGAACATTAAATCCATTAGTAAACCAATGTATGAACAACGAAGAAAAAAATTTCCTGTACTTCCAACATCATTAGATAACGCTKTACAACAACTGAGGATTTTAAAAACTGATAAATGTTTCACGTATAAAAATCAACAATTTATCTATGCTTCGGCAGATATAAATTTTATTTGTCTTACAACTGTTCAAAATATTAACTTCTTGACTCAATTTTGTTCAGAGTTATTTTGTGATGGAACATTTGACTATTCACCTAAGTCCACCTGTTTTTACAGCTGTATACAATACATAGTTATAGAAATGGACTTTATTTACCACTAATATATTTTTTTTTTTAAGACAAAACTCTAAATACCTACTTACGTTGATTTATGGAATTATTTTCGACAACTTTGCACAGAAATCAGCGATAAATTATTAAATATAAAAATAATACACCGGGACTTTGAAATTAGTGCACATAAGGCAGTCCTATCTGTTTTCCCGAATTTAAAAATAATGGCTTGCAGATTTCACTTAGGACAATTTTGGTGGAGTAAGGGTTAGTAACAATATTAATGTATACATTTTATAAATTTATTTAATTATTTTATAAACATTTTCTTTTTAGATTCAAAGTGAATCTGGTTTAAGAGAAGCATATATGGATTCAAATGATGAATTTGGAAAGTGGTTGAAGCAATTTTTTGCTTTACCTTTCCTTGCATGTCATGAAGTAAATGAAGCATTCACCGAACTTATAAGTATTTGCCCCAACGATTCTGCAGGATATTATTTGTTCTCAGACTATATTTTGATGAATTACATATTTACATTAAAGATCAATGCTTATTTCCGCCAGAATTGTGGGCAGAAAAGCCTTCAATGAGTCCAAAGTAAAATTAATTTTTTGAAATGAAAATAAAAGTAAATCATTATTTTATTAAAATAGTTACTTATACTTTTATAGAACAACTAATGGTTCTGAAAGCTTATATAACACATATAACGGCCAATTTTATCACCCTCATCTACATATTTATTTAGTTATAAAAGTATTGATGGAATTTCAGTCAGAAACCGAAACTAAAATAACTTTATATTATGWTTCGAAAATATTGAATGCGAAAGAAAAAGAACGTATGGAATTCACCATAGATGCATACAATAAGTATGAAACAAATCAAATTGATATCATCATTTTTTATCACAAGTTGGTCCTCGATATCAAGAAAAAAAATTGTAATTAACTAGGTACTTATTTAAATTATTATTTATTTTAACTAATTTTACTATTATTATTCAAAATATATTTGACTATTAATTATTATTCGCGATTATTATTCACAATACATTTGTTATACATTTTTAATTAACTAGGTACTTGTTTAAATTATTATTTATCTATTATTTATTTTAACTAATTTGACTATTTTTGTATAATTTATATCTATAACTATTTGAAGGTATTGAAATAACTCATTAAAATTGTTATTTTGAGAATCCAGGTTATTCAATTTAACATGTTTTGAAAATAAATATCAATGAACGTTGTTGAGACTAGCCATCTAGTTGATTTGACTGCTATGGTTTGAAGTTATTTTTACTAATTACGTATATTAATATTATTATTATATTATATTATTTTAATACCTTTATATTTTCAATCAATATCATAAACCCGTCAACAATTATGTCAAATAATATAGCCATCTTTTCAGTTTTCACTTAGTGTCTTAGCTCTTATTGTACAGTTATTATTGTGTAGTWGTGCATTTTATATTACTCATTAGTGAATTACCTGCATACATTTTTTTTATAATATCTTATAATCACATGGTAAATTGTTGATATTTCTCTATTTAGAAAACAGTGTTTCCACTAGAGATACAAACTACCAAGTTAGGTAGTGGCTCAGTAGGTTTAGCGTTAGGTTAGGAAACACTAGGAAATTTCCGAGTAAAGTTCAAATCCTCCACAGACACCAATATTTTTTACTTTAAATGTGTAAAACAAAAGTGATTATAACTCCTTAAATAGTTGAGATAACAATATTAATTATGTAGTTATACTGATACTTTTTATGAAGTAAATTAGAACTGAAACTCGAGTTGTATTAACTAACCAGATAGTTGAATTAATATAGAGTGATGTAGTTGTAACGATATTTTTTATGAAATTCATTTAAAATACAACTTTAAATTGTATTAACTAAAATAGATAGGTTAAACCAAGTGACTATTATTAACTACATAGCGTAGTCAAATCAATTCTGTTTCATCCTTAAGCGAAATCTAACGCTCGAATGTGCACGGGATTAACTTATTTGGTGATCAAAACAACTCCACAGTTTTATGTGTGAAGAAATAAATATAAAAATGTCGTAAAAAAATGTAGGATATTCTATTTTAAAAATAATCTCTCTTTGAAAACTTCGTTGTCTATTACTACTGTATTATAGCGATTGAATTCAGTTCCTTCAACATCGACACGGGTGTAGCTGATGAAAATATTTTAAAAACTTTGAACCGACTACCGACATCGGACATAAATACATAATACACGTCGTTTGCAGGTCGGTATTGTGCGTTTTTACTTTAAACATTATTTATCCAACCGCCGATTCGACTATAGCAAGCATAATATATACCTTACGTATAGAAAGAACGATCTGCTTAATTCTATCTGTTAGCGACGACACTCTTACCTGTGGCCAGTTGAGCGTGGTGAAATTGGCATACAGCGTCGGCTTCAAACCATGTAACTCTGTCTTTAAAATGTCGATAGAAAACAGGAAATTCGTTTTTTGGCAATAGCCAAGAACTGCTGATATTCACCTGTAATAAAAGTCAGTTTTGGTTAGTCTGGTAGAAACAAAAAAAATTGCAATATAATAAAATAATATAATATTAGTAGATTGTTTACACATAAAATTAATGACAATATAATATAACTATAATGGGAGGTRTCTAATATCTAGGTACGAATAATATATGATTTACAATGAAGAAATAACAATTTTTAGTTCAATTAATCAGATAGACGGTTACCAATCTTAATGACGAAACTAATTTTCTCGACTGGCTAACCGATTACAAATGTGTATAAAAACAATTTAATTATATTAGCCTTACGCGATGACTTTCACTGGCGTTTATAAAGAAATTATAATATAAAGTAAAATTTAAGCACGATTTTAATTGAAAATTAAAATATGTTTAAAACTAATTTCAATATTTTACAGATTATCTTATTTTCACAATTTTTGTTATGTATAGGTAATAGGTATTTACAATTTATGTTACACTGGCAATTTATTTACAAAAATAAACTTTTCGACGAGAATGGATATTACTGTGTTTCTAATGAAATTTTATTCTTAAAATAATTTTCAAAAAAAAAAAATATGCCAGATTTTAGATTATTGATGAATTTAGCACGTCGTGTTTATTTTAAATTTTTTTGCGGAAAAAAATTATTTTAAACAAATGTAACTTATTATAATCGTTTAAATTACCTAGTGTAAGTAACTATCAACATTTAAAAGTTGATAATTACTTACATCATGATCTAAGAATAATATTGAGTAGGTACTTTAAAGTGAGTGTCTTATTTCCTCTAAAACTCATTCAATGGATGTGTWTTTACATAAAGTTCTTTTACGATGTTTCATCAATAAGAAATGAACATTAAGACATTTCATGAGACTACAATGATACGGAAATTGGATAGTAGTAGTATAATACACTTTATAATTCCAAGGTATTTAAATAACTGTCAAGCTAACRACGAAATGGGGTTCGTTATTATTAATATCCTACGTACCTATTATAACTATGTAATTGACAGCTTTTTACCATACATTTTATATGAATTACTTAGTTTAGACGCATTAAACGTGGTTATTTATTTCGGAATAAATGTTTTGATGAGAATAAAACGATTATAAAAGATTTAAGGGGAAAAAATACCCTCGTTTTATTATTTTAGTCAAATACTTGGGGATCGTATTTTACCTAAACGATCACATAATATTTTGAGATTTAGAAGAAATAATCTGGTTTTGCAATATACGTTATTTTTCCATACAATTCTGGTTATAAACTAAATTGTTTACTATTTACTCTCTTGCATTTTCTTTTTATAATGTATAATTATCACGCAATATAATGATAAAAAAATTTGACCAAGTAAAAAATACTCATATTTTAATTCCTAGTTTCRCCATTTTAACAAATAAGACAAAAAAGGGGGATGTCTACATTTCCAAACTAAAATGATAATAGTTATTGACATGAAACGAACTTGTGGTCATTATATAATATCAAGATACGTCTCAAGTAAATATTGTGGCGCCAAAGGTCTATCATAATAAGCGAAATGGCTTATGGAGTAAACCTCCAAAACTATATCTATGTATAATAACATTATCTAGATAATAACGCGTTTTACTTGTGCTAATATGATATTATTATTAACAGTAATAATATTATAATACAAACAATATTTTCGTTGTGCATTTCCAGGCCGTGGTGAATAGCGTATTATGGTGGATGGGGCGTAACTTAATTTAAGAGGTTGTGTATATTAAAGACAATTTTTCAGGCCCCACACCCGGAACAGCTGGAACTCATAACGCCCTTAAAAATCATAAAAGTAAGTGGTAAATGGGTATCGCTCTGCTGTACATTAGGAGGTGGGATGGACCTCTGACTAGGGTAGGTTAAATTTGAATGCAATGATGGTATCATTGTATACGAARAACGATTCTGAACGGAGACGGTTTATCTGTCTAGGATATATTATAGATTATTAAAAAATTTCAAATCTTAGATTTAAAAAGAAATTTTTTATGAATTTCTAGCTTAAAATGATTTGCGAATTTTCGTGATTTTCATGTATGTTGTCAAAATTAAAATTTGAATGCTTGCAAAAAAAAATTGTGGTTATATATTTATTTTTATTTTTCAACTGCTATTGTAAAAATATGAAAGGAGCCTTGTATTAAATTTTCAAATCTTAGATTTAAAAAGAAAAACTTTTATGAATTTCTATCTAAGATAATTTGAACATTGCCGTAATTTTTAAGTATTAAGTCAATAATTATGTATTAACTCCAAATGCTAATAAAAAAAAATTATGCATATGTATTCTCATAATTTTTTTATCACCATAGGAATAACTTATGAGAAACTTTGTATTAAATTTTCAAGTATTTTAATAATCAACATTTTTGAAAATTAAACTGTATATAACATTAACATAAACATTTGGTGAAAATTTCAAGTATTTACTGTGATTAATTTTTGAATTACAACCATATAAAAAAATCGATTTGGTCGAAAACTGGTTTTGCGTAAATATTCCCGTTTTTCTGTCATTTTTTTTTTTGTTTTTCTCGATTTTTTGAAAGCTGTTGGAAAATGTTTACTTTTGACCTTTATAAAGCACCAAGGATATTCACTTTTACATCGGAAACCACCCCCAAAGTTTGAAATTGAAGCATTATTTCGTCTAGTTATGTTGTACACAGACACAMAAAAAAAAAACACACATCATTGTTAAATCAATACATTCATCACTTCGTTCAGAATCTAAAATCCTACACCCAAAAAATCTCATATACAAACCTAATTAACTGAAACTTGAATAACATAGGTTTATCCTGGTTAAACTGAAATCCGACTGTGCTTTTATTTTACAAATTTCAAGTGGTCATTTTGCCTATGTCATTTTGTATGAATTTCCGCTGGTAGTTCGATTTTGTACTTAATTAGTTACTTGACGATAATAAATTATTGCTAGGAATAATTCAACAATAAATTGGTGTTAATTATTATTAATAAATGAATATTATTCATTTATTAGTATCGATGCATTTGAAAATTAAGCACTATTCTTTGTTTTATTTCGTACTTACTGCTGCAGATAATGCACAGTAATTTGTTAATTTGTTTATCTGGCTCAAGCTTAAAATTACTTAAAAAGAAATTATAATTTTATCGTTTGATTCTGAATGCATAAATKAACGAAATGCCTTACAATAAAATAAATCCAATGCCAACTACGATATAAGCCTTCCAAAGCTGTAGTACAAATATAGTATTGTTGAGGTACAATATATTAATAAATTGTTTTTGTGAAAACATTTCACATGAAAAACAACCAGCCTATAAATTCTAGATAATAGAAATACATTCATAGTAGAAATATGAAACGCATAACATGATAAGAAAAAAAATTATTTTCCGAACTATACCTAGTGTTTTAGTTATGTTTGTTTGTTATTATTGGCTTATGTTACATGAATTGATCGGTCTTCTGAGATATGAATAGCTAAAATACTATGAAATAATATTAATGGATTAAAAAAAACCCCGTTTTTAATGAGTCGTAAATTACTAAATAACATATCGAATGGGCTGATCTCCAGCATAGAAAAAACAATAATAGCTTTTTCCAAATTAAAAATTTTAATATCTTGCCATCTCCTAACGATTCGATATCGCATTTAAGTATATTTTGTACCTATAGTTGATCCCCCTGATATTAAATTGTGCATCGGACGTTGTCGTAGATTTATTGCAAAACGGAGCATCGAAATTTAATGAGATGTTATTTGACAAATGTCGAATTTAATTCGTCTAGTCTGAGTCTTGTCACACCAAAGAAATATTGTTATTATTATTATTACATAGCCGGCTTAATACATAATTTAAATAGGATATGCCAGAGTACTGTGTTTTAATTACACGCCGTTACCAGTTACCACGTTAATTATTTGAATTCCATTGGAATTATCGTTCTTAATTTGCGCTCAGTTGATCTCATTATGCATACCAATGATTCATATGCGACCATTATTATATTCTTAACCATGTTATTATATCATGAAAGAGCTATGCTTAAAATAACATTTATACGCTTGTACGCGCAAAGTAATAAGAGTTTATATTTTTGTGAATATTTTGAATTTTTTTTTCATTTGGCCTAAAAAACTTAGATATTTCGAGAACGATTTTATATTTTTGGTGTTTTGTCTATTTTTAATTTATACATTTGTCTTGATAAACATTTTTGTAAGCTCTGTYCCTTCGTTTAGATTAAGAAAAGCATGTACATATTTTGTAGTACAACAAACTCAGAGTTAAATGCAATCATATTATTGTACATACGATTTGTTATAACCGTAAACAATAAACATGTAGTATTGTGTAATTTATGGCTGTCCCTTGAGGAATATTAAAAATATTACATAACAATAGTGTTGTATGTTGTAAACACGGCGGGCGTTCCGGGTAGGCAATATCGGTACATTGCTGTTGATAGTCGACGTTACCAAATTATATTATGATAGCCAGATATTCATATTTTTTTAACTAGACACGTACGTTATAGTTAATGTTTTTCTGTGCATAGTTTAGGAAAAATTGTTTTCGTCGTTTCTATTAAACGCAGAGACAATTTTTTTGCCCTTCTTGAGCAAAACACCCTTTTTGGGTTAAAGACGAAAAAGTTTAAAGTTGACATTTTCATTTTTGAATACTTCTTTGTCTTTAGTTATGCCTAACCTAACCTATGGTGTCTGGTAATTATTAAGCTACCGTGGTTATTTCAGAATTTTTGCCTGGTGCTCAAAATAAGTGCTAATAATGCATGTCTATATTATATTCTACCATCCCAGAATGCCGAGACACCATTTCAGAAGACGGTTTTATTGTTTTTTTAACCCTATCTTTCAAGTTATGGTGAGCTTAATTCGATTTATTTTCACGCCCATGCGTAATATTCGAACGTAGGTATTTATCGGGTCGTGAGCATGATACAACCAGAGATT